AACAAATTTTGATGCGTTTTTACTAAGTCAAGGGCAATAACTCAAATTCCGTTTATCGAGAAATTGTCAAATTCAATCTTCACTAAGATTTCATCATTATAAATGATCATACCAAATTTCATTTAAATCGGATGAAAACTGTACTCTCTATTGTGTTGACAAACAAATGGCAATAACTCAAAAACCTTCATCGAAAGATAGCCAAATTCGAACTCGTCCAAGATATCATCATTAGAAATTGGTTAAGTCAAGGGCAATAACTCAAAAACCGTTCATTCGAATCCGATGAAAACTGTAGTCTCTATCGCGTTCACAAGCCAATTGTGGACAGACGGACCGACGGACATGGGTGACGTCCACATTATAATGTGGGCGTATAAAAATGCATAACAACTTACAAGGCGAAAATCTGTTAAAAAGTTACTCCATGGCATCTCTTGTTTATCAGTTGTAGAGTACAGTGAGACTTGATCTTCTACGTATTCAGACCAGTAGCCAATATGTACTGCCTTAAATGAAGTCCTGAAAGTAAACATGGTTTAAAGACAAATACAAATCACACTTCTGATATCAGTTTGGTTCAAAATACTCTTACCGGTATTTGGTTATTTACTATCGATATATACTATTAAAATCATTCTTACTTATATGGTATTCCGAGTAGAAACTGCTGATAGATAAACCGCTGTAATTCTTTATCGTCAATGACAGCTAAATCTCCTCCTTGCAGAGTACACTGATGTTGTGCCTTATGCTGTTCAGTCAAATAGGATCCAAAACTGTAACAATATCTGGGATCTTTTGGATTTCTGGGCATAGATGGTGTACATGGATATTCTGTTAATAAATGGAAGATCAAAAATTAAAGAAAAGTTAAACAGAAATTCTGCTAACTTTTGACCACTGTGGGTGCTGTAATTCTATTTCAAAAATTGCTTTTGGCTCGAATGCCATTTTGTGATAGTGAAGTGATACTCAATTAAGCATACTTGATACACATAAAAAAAACTACAAAACCCTTTACAATCCATTTAAAAATGCCCATATCTGAAAAAGATTGTTATAATCTCTTTAAGTCCAGTTTACCTTGTGTGACATAAACAGACATGCTATCACTTCCACCACAAATTTGAGTACTATTGCCTAAACAATTTGTACCACATGCAGATTCTAAATCACGACCATAATGACCCAGTGTATTACCACATGTACATATTTTACCACCCTAGAATTATAATCTTTATATATTGTAATTACATTATTGTAATTAATGTGTTCAATTCGAAATAGTACAAATCATTCCAAAGCACTACCAATAATATAATTCAGACAATTTTTAAATTCTGATTTTATTACATTAATATAAGGTGGGCTCTACAGTTGTGTTAATCGTTCGCTACTGTCTTCAAAAACTTTTTGTTTCACTTTTCTAATTGGTCATACGGTGCAGAAATGGGGTAAGTAAATCTTCATTTCATTTCGTTCAATTTTCAAGTCAAAATTGTGAAGCATATTACAATATTGTATGTAATATTACTTTACCTCTAATCCAGCAAATTTAAATTCTTTCTGGAAGCAATAATCTCGACAGACTTCTATTGTCATTAAAGTATCTGTTATCTTTTGTTCTCGAACATCCGGTACGGTTGGCCAGGGCATCCAGGCCGGCAAAATGGTCACAAAACACCCTCTATAATTCAAATCTGTAACAAACAAGTACTTTTAATCATCAGTTAATCAGAATCTAATGAAATTTGTGCGTCTTTATAAAATATACTAGGAATTGAATTATTTTTATAATGTTGCGAGATCAACGAATCTCATATATAATTTACTTTTGGAGCATTGAAGATTGCCTTACAGCATAATCGATATATTATAACTTATTCGTAATTACAAAACCTAGACTAATATAAGACGGTGTCTAAATAAGGTCTATCATAAGTAGTGACGAATAATCGTAAGAACATACCGAATTCATTATCCTGAATGGATTTTTCACAAATAAAATGTGAAACAGTAGAACATGAGATAGAAATCCAAACACCCAGACAGAAAATGTTTTTATTAAGAAGGGTACAACTCTGAGTAGGTATTGAAGAATATTTCCATACAGGTGGCGGGATTTTGATACTGATGTCTGTAGATCGATATTCCGCAGATAAAGATGTGAGGTTGTCATACCCATAAAATAATGATTCATCAAGTCCGTAATGCCTGAAAAATAGCATTTGTCATAAAATGAATAAATACGAAACTACAAAAGCGTCATCAGAAACATCCACTAACAACATCAAGTAAGTTTCATAAAACAGCGTAATTGAGAAGATCTTACATAATAATAGAAGCGCTGTTCATTATGCGAAATCATAGTCTTTTGATTCCTACATAATTTTATCTCCATTATCATAATTTCAAAATACATACTGAAAAGCAAGGTCCAACCAGTTATAGTGTGTCTGTAGGGAATCTGTTGCCATGATACGACCATCAAGCTTAGTACAATATGCTGTTGCAGCTGTATACGACATTTCTCTGGGACTAAATTTATGACATCTCCCCTTTCTGAATAGCCAAGGAGATGGACAATCTGGAAGTAAAACGTCTTTCATGAATATAGATCGTATTAGTCAGGAAAAAACCATAGGTCAGTTTGGATGACACAAAACTGATGCTTTCTTAGGTTCGTCAGTGTTTAAGAAAGTGCAACAGAAGTAACTGAAGTGCAATGTTGAAAAATTCTCATACTAAAGTTTTATTCATTGCCGCACAATAAATATTTCATTAAACATAGGCTAATCTATAGAAATAAGAAATAATACTAAGGATATAAAAAGAAATACTTTTACGGACTCGCATACATAATAATATTTTTATGATTTTTAGAGTGACGAGTTACCTTTATGTCTACAAGTCGGAGGATAAACCTTTCCGTCATCTATATAACCTTCACATCTATAAGCTGGATGACCAATTTGACAAAACTCGTGGGTTGTACAGGGCACACCGCTGTAGTCTATAGGTTCACCAACATTACCTAAGAAAAAAATTCATACAAATTAAATTCTGACAAAAGGGTCAGAAATATCCACAGGAATTATAGTTGATGTGTACGTGTGCCATTTGCCTCACATGTATACCATCAATATGAGCTACCTATAACATAAAACGATGTTATCTCATATTTCATATCTAAAATTGTAAACCTGATTTTATATAACATGTAATGTCAGCACAGTAGGATTGTCCCCGTCACATAGCATTGATAATTCAAAACAAAAGAATGGTACATAATGGTACTTTAATTTCTAAAAAAGTGCACCAAGTGGCATAATAACAAACACCAAACTTCTGCATAGCATGAAAGTGAAAAGTTTTTGGACTCTCTTTAGACATACCTATTTGAGTTTGACAGATAAATGGTCGAGGCTGTGTACAGTTATCAATAACAGGTTTGGTATTGTTGCTGTTCAATACTAGGCATTGTTCTACGCCCATATCTATACTGGAATTATCCACAGTACCAATATAATACAGGAAGTCTGATTTACTACCATCAGAATGAACCCAATCTTTATTAGCTTTTCTTTTTATACCAAGGTACAGATCAACATCACTGAAGTCGCTGAAATTGCACAATATCAGTGATTAATCCTCGGTTCAAATTGTTTTTCGTAATTTTGTAAATTCCCCTGGGAGTTAGCAAACTATGGAATTCTTATTTCTTATGTCCCCATTTCACTGGATTACGATATACAGCCATAACTCGAAATGCCTCATACGATGGAATCAGCTGTAATATTTCAATTTTTTCCTTCTTTCTTTTAACTGAAACCTAATCGAAAAAAGTCGCAAACAAACAATAAAATCCTAAAAATATTATAGACCAGCACTGACGCAATTTTAGCCAGAACACCCCTGTGCCTCTACCTATTTCAAATCGCTGTAAGAGTGTAATAAATGTCGATCATTTTCAAACCTGATATATTTGAATTTTTCTAGATCCAGAGAAGAGTGGGGGCTTGCTAAATAACCATAACCAGCACAGTGATATTGAGCTTGATCATACGTCAGTTGAAGTGTTTCATATTTATAGCACCTGTTGTTCAATTCTTTCCAACCGCTTGGACACGCCACCGCTTAAATGAAAATTATGATACACTACTATCTTTCAACTTTACTCTATCCCATATTTAAGAAAGTAACAAACCTTGTCTTACAGAATGCATCTTTTATGATAATCTATTTTAATATTACTTTAATGATTTCAAGGTTAAGGTTTCATATTACCACAAAATAAGTCAACTTTGTATAACTTACAGGACTTTCATTTGATGTGAATTCCACGATACAGTCTACTATACATTGATAGAACAATGCGATCTGGCAGAATGTACTTTTGTTAAGAAATATACCTTTATATTTGACATCAGTGACCTGATTTACAAACAAATAATAATATCAAGAGGAAGTAATTACCAGGTATAGCCTTTCTACAAATATAACCGTATGTTAGCCCAACTGATCTTTTATTATAAACTCCTGTATTTAACTCAACTGTAACACCAGTCAAATCTGTGGATGCATTTATATTTAGTTCTAAAGCTTCTAGTTTACCAACATGTTGTTCTATCCATTTCCATTCTCCAAGGTTACTGTATAGACCCATCCATAATTCAGGTGGAAATCGTTCAATGTCCCTATGTAAAAATGATTTTAAGTTGCTTTACGTTGGTAATTGTATTCAAACAAGTTCAATTGAAAACTTAACATAACATTTTGCTAAATAACGTATGCCACTGACAATGCTAGTATTATACGTAATTAATTTTATCTGAAAAATAACTTGATCAATTGAAAACCAATGATGCTTTCATTAGTACTTCTAATGTCACTAAATCGAATAGAAAGTGCTACTAAATCAAACAGAAAAGTGCTACTAAATTGAACAGAAAGTGCTACTAAATCAAACAGACAAGAAGTTTCAAAGATATACTCACCATACTTTGTTCAAAAAGTCAATCTCGGTTTGGTTAAACAGGCTTAATAAAGCGCTATTTTCACTTACGCATAAATCAACAGCTTGCCAAAAGGTTTTAGTAGTTGTAAACACTTTATAACAGAATCCTTTCTCCATATACCAACCAGCCGGACATGCACCTACAACAATTCAACGTTCGTATTTGAAACCAAGTTGCATGAGTCACAGTAGAAAGCTTTTAACAATCCACAATCCATAAGTTGATCTTTTCTAAAATTGATCATTAAACATCTTTTATATCTATTTTATTTTAGAATTGTACAATCGTATATGCATACGTGCTCTACATACATTCAAATATGAATTGCTTACTTCGACAAATTGGGCGCCTCGTCCATCGTCCAGAAGGCTGACAAGTAGCGTTTGGTGAGCCAATAATGTCCTGCTCAAGTTCAAGGCAGGTGTATTCGATTACATCTCCATGGCTGATTTTGTTTTCATATCTTCTATAAACAAAGGTGTAGTTGCAGCCTTCATCGGTGATTGGTGTAGGACATTCTGAAAAAAATATCATATCAAATCAAGGGCTTGTGCCCAATTAAAGTAATATGAGTTGGTGATTTGATTAGACCTCAAAACGCCTCAAATTGAATTTCTTTCGTGTTTAGTTACATGAACTTTTGTATGCGTTGGCGCAAATGTTCCGGATTTATATATTACATAGGCTATTTTGAACATTGTAATATGATACCATTCTCGAAAACTACCATTTTTACGCTTGTTTGATGACCAATTAAAAATACTGCAATAGCAGACATGACTTGACAGTTATTTGTCGGCATATTGCTACATTCCAATTAATACAAATGTTGCTAATAAATCATAGTATTTTCACGACAAGATCCTCTAAGCTGAAGAGCTTAATGGAATAGTAATATTCACCTGGATTTCGTAGATACAGGTTGGTAGAAATATTATATTCTGGTGTCGTTTGAGAATGAGTAGAATCATACAAATAACATGTATCTGGATTTTTAAATGAAAAAGCGCCGCAGTCTGCTGTACGATCATTGAGACAATCTTGAGCACACTGTTCTACCGAGACACCATTCATTGTAGAATAGCTACCACCATTTAATCCTCTATTGTAAATAGTGGTGAACCGATCTAATTCACTCTCTATAAAATTCAAGATATAATTTTTAAAAATACATATATTATTATTCCTTTCTAGTATCTTATAACTTAATACACATACAGTATAAATCAGTTATATCAGAAACTAGCAGTAGAAATCTTACCATGTAACTCCATATACTCTCCATACTTTATCTCTACTGTCAGTCTGTTTATTGGCAAATCATTACTCCGCTCATCATAGAGAAAACAATGTCCTTTTATGTATAATATTGCCACACACCGAAAGGTGGTTTCTTTCAGACATAATTGATGACAAGTGGAAATAGCATTCACATCAACAATCCTCTTTCTGCTATCTTGAGACTTTATGTTCGAATTTCCTTCAAATCTCCCTAAATTATCATAAAAGAAGTGAATCAATTTCATGAAACATTATTACAAATTTTCGACCGGAAGAGGCAGTCCGAAAGAGGTTCAGAGATACGAAGAAGAAGGCCAGACTGAAGAAGAGAGGGAGAGATGAGAAAAAGGCAGGAAAAGGGCAGGAATAGGAAGAGAAGAAGGGAGGTGGACAGTAAGTAATGATGAAGAGTTAGCAGTTGATGGGAAGACGCTAGAAAAAGACAAAAAAGTGAGTGGATAGGAACGTGAATGAGAAGTAGAATGGAAAGTGGGAGAAGTAGAAACAAAAGGGCTTTGATACCAATTATCAGTCTCAGTGGTCAAATAAAATTGGAGAGAATTCCCTCACTTGAAATAAATAATCGTATCTATTTAAATCTAAATAATAATAATAATAAAAACATTTTGTAAAATAAGATACAATGAATAGCTATTTCTAGACCAACCACCGAGCGTTGCCTAATATAACTAGATTTGGAAAAGTTCTCATGAAAATATACAGTTTGATTTGATTTTGACTCTCAAACTGCAATTCGATAATGATTAAAGAATTAAACCTACTTGTGCAAACAGGAGGTTCTTCCCAATGTCCATTATCTAAACAGTGAATTAAAGATTTGTGTGGTGGTAGTATGACTCTATCTAAACTACAAGTGTATTCTACCGAATCTTCATTCCCCTGCATGATATAACGATGTGAGGCATACTGTACATATGGTATTGGCCAACATTCTGAAAGATACAATAATTAAATTTTTGCTACAGACAAAATACGTTTTACGAAATACATGTACAACTCAACGAATGGAAGTTTGAAATTATATCACAAAAACCAGATGACATTCTGATTCTGAATAATTCTAATTAATTGAAAAAGTCTTACTGTTTCTCGTGTAAACAAAATCTGTAGTGGATACAGGATAAATAGAGGTGTAGCCATGGAGTTGAGTAGTCGATATATCTGAATATAGCAAACACATTCCAGATCCTGTTTGGAATTTGAAGACAACGCAATCTGTGTATAGACAGTTCCAAGCACAATTATTAACATTAGTAGTTGCAATTTGTGGATGTATATCTAAACCAAAGTCAGAGGCACCACTTATGAATGTGGTTGTAATTAAATCTGAAAAACAGATATAAATGCCAAAGACTCTACATTTAGATTATTTACCAACTTTTAATAATAGTAACTATCAGCAACATCAACGGAAATAACACAGATTAAAAAAAAAAATCATAAACATAAACATTAATGTAAAGCGAGACACTGACAGGGGTATAACTAGTGTGTTTAAAATTTATTGACATGGGAGAGAAAATTTAGGGTAAAAGACAGTTTAAGTGCGATTATGGGTAGTTTTATGCTTTCAACATCGTCGTTCTACGATTTAAAGCTGATTTTATTTCTGTACCTGCACATGAAGGCGGTGCTTCCCATTCCCCACCATTTTCAGTTTTCAAACAACGTATAACTCCAGTACTTGCACCCATAATACCATAGTTTTCTGCACATTTATATCTGAATTCAGTGCCAATATCCCAAACCTTTTGATTTGTGTTCTCTCGAGTTTCATTTGCGATTGATGGTGGTATTCCGCATCCTGTAAAGTTTTGAATTTGATTAAAATGAAACTGGAACAATCTATTGTAAATTCTAGGTCAAGGGTAGACTTTGTTATGAGACAAATAAACCTGAGCCTCAAATTCGTAAGGGAATGACAGGAAACCGAGGAAATGTCAGGGAATCGTGTTTCCGGGCGTTTAATTCTCAAAATTTTCAAGGCGAGAAAGAATTCTCTTATAAGAGTACTTGGCTGGGTACGGGTCTGCTAAACGAAGAAAGTTTGGTGCAAAATGCAAGGGACAAAGAACCAGTCAACAACAGTCGGTTTCTCCAGCTGTTTTTATATCTCCATTTCAGCCAAATATCACCTTTGGTTAACGTTCGCTTCCAGCGTATGCTGATATCGTAAACCAAATATTACCTTTTCAGCATTGCACCTTAAATGTTCATGAAATCAAGTAAATGACATTGAAAATGAATACAAAGTTGTAAATTTACCTTTCCATTGTTCACAGATATAGTATTGTGTTATTCCTGTAGTACTGTACTTTCCTAATCTCCATTCACCATTAATAGTCATTGCTAACAATGCATCATCTATGGCCGAGAAATCTTCTGATGCCTTCCAATTGCTATAATTAGTGGCCTCTAAGGACTGACCGTCTGACCACACTAATGTCTCATAATAACCGTGAAGACCCAACCATACCTCAGTACGGTCACTGAAAAAAATTACTGATATCTTCAGTTATTCTGGACATGCAATTTACTAAATATTTGGTTACGCGTTTCTCTTTTGTATTTTAATTAAGAATGTGGGTAAAGTATCACTCTTTACTCAATTGATTCGTCAGGTTTTAACTGACACAGGGTAATGTTTTATGTATGTATGTATTTTATACATAATCATTATTTTTCATTAACTACCTCATGTCTTGGAAGAAATCATTAAGTTCCTGTGAGGTAACACTGGCCAATACACCTTTCTGAATAACACACCATTGGTCAGGTGTTAAATCCGGAACTATCTGATTATCAAACAACTTGTAGCATTTATTACCCAAACCTCTCCATTGGTCGTGACACGTCACTTCCTCTAAAATGGCATGCAAAAAGTATGCTTATTTCAATTAACAAATCTACAATGATTAATAAAAGATAAACCTTAAAAACATACTTTTGTTTTGTTACAAATCAAATAACAATTGTCAGATGCTGGGGGCTACGCAAAAACATCATTTTGTAATAAAGTTTGTCAAATCGTTGTCTATCGCTTTGTATAAGTTACCGCATCCAATCAGATGTACCTTTACTTACCAACATCACAAGTTGTAGCTCGGCTATTATCCTGACCATTTTGAAAGTAACCATTAGGACAGGTGCATCTGCTATTAGAACATACAGATATATTTAAACATAGATCATCTCTGTCTAAACACCCATAAGAACCAATCGGTAGAACTAAAAAGTAGTGATTAAAAGAACATATCAATTATTTATCAACTTGACACAATACTGATATACTCAATATCAATGTTTGATATACGATTTAAACTATCGGAAAAAGCACTTACTCTTTTTACAGTATGTACTCAATTTTTCATTACTACCAACTTTAGCATAAAGATCTGGTGGTGTACATTGACATAAATCATCTATACATTCGGCCAGTCCATTACAAGAGACTTGTCCATATGGTGTACATCCAGTTGATCCAACACTAAAAACTGTAGAGACAAATATATTTCATAAAGTAAAAAAATATCAGGAAAAATAAAATATGTCAGCAATGCTGTGGATAATGCGCTACATTATATAGTACATGTTATATTATACTAGGAAATCTAACGAAAACTTTAGCAATGAAATTTCCGATGAGTTCAATCTCAAGCGGACATTTCTATGACATTTCTATGTATATTAAAACCTTCAAACCTTTTATTTCACATACTGATGGTAGAAGATTCCCACAGTCTTCATCGCTAAAATAATGTTCACCAACATCGTATTCCTTGAACTTCCTCCTGAGTGCTATACAATCTATAGCAGTTTGATTGATACCATCACCACTAGGTTCAGCTGATAGAGTCTTATTGTAAAATTGTCCTGAGAACCAATTTGTATAGTTTATCTCAGTATAATAAAATCTATTCCATCTATACCAGCCTTCCTATAACAACAAAAAATATCCATTCAACATTTTTATTCAACATTTTGTACAACAAGTAGGACTGACCATTACTTACCATTACTCTTAGGTTTAAAAGGATCCTACTAGAAGTTTCGGCTTGGATACGGATAACTGATGTCATCAATTAACTTTCAAGCAATCACTACTTTGGTAGCGTCATGAATCATGTCATTAAGATCAGAATTACAGAATTTCTTAAAACCAGAGAAAAGAGTAGAACCAGAGAAAAGAATTGAAGTTGAGCCGCATATACGCGGCAGTGAGACGAAAAAGAAGTTATATCAAACTCGAAAGTTTAAAATTACTACAATGATAAATGATTACTCCTGATTATAATTCTTACCAGGCCCTTATCCATTCCCCCAGTCCATGCCATATTAGTATAGTCAAAGTCGAGCAGTTTAGATAAATATTCGTTTTCATCTTCATCTTCAATTTCTACCAGAAAACCATAGGAGTTCTCACAGTTTGCCTTGGCGTCCTTCCAAGTAAGAAGATCACTGTTATAGCAATAACAGCTTGATGAATACTGACCCCATCCATCTGGACATGGTGGCGTGTCTACAAATAAAATACATTTACTACGTCGTCGTAAGATAGGTCAAGGAACTATGAAAAGGAATAACTATAATAATTCAAATGATTTGCTGTCCATTCATCACTTGGCAAACGATATACTGGTGCATACTTATAGCTGGCGACCAGAATAGTAAAATAATTAACATATCTACAGACATACCTGGGATGCACATTAATGGATGTGACCAGAAATGATCGGAACAGGTGATTGTTGAACTTAAATGAGGTGGTATTTTATACAGATTATTACAGGTATATGTTATAACAGAACCATTACTGTTACCGCTTCCTGTTCCATTGACAATCATTCCATTGTCTGGGTCTGCAATGTCTACACAACTAGCTGAAAGTTGATATACATGGTTATTGAAAGGGAATTAAATTATTCATCCTTCACACGAAAGTAGAACAACTCGTGCAAATTAGTATAGCCAACACTAATCTATCCCTTTACTTTTAACTTGACTTTAGGAAGATGTTTGCAATGGCAACATGCAAGGTTTCTGATGTGTAACAATCTGATTAAATAGAGATATGCAGGGTACTACATTTGTCATCTTTGATCCGAAAAAAATCTTTTTTAAATTAGTTAAATTAGCTAATTAGAATTGTTATAACTTATGCTAATCAATCAAACGAGGAAAGACAGTATCTTTCAGCAACAAATATCCCAGCCAAAATTACCAGAAGTTGGTAAGTTACCTTTGAATAAAAACGTATCTTCAATAATTGCTGGTGCGGATGCATCATCACTATCGCCGTGATAGAGATTACATTCACCGGTTTGCGTTGAAAACCCTAAGTATGTGCAGAAACGGTCGCTGTAACAATATGCACCACAGGCTAAAAAGCTATCAGAAATGATGGTTGTATTTGGAAAGTTGTTTTTGTACACACCAACAAATTGGAATCTTGATGCTATAAATAGATGTTTCATAACTTAATCGATCAGAAATATCACGAGCAGTTTTTGTTCCATATTTATACTTCTCACAGTGAGTTGAAATAGAACATTTGAATTCCATTTTTTTAAAATTAATATATATCTCATTAATGTTTCATAGTGGTCGATGATGAAACATTGATCTATGTTAAATAGGGAATCTGATAGTGAATCAATATACCGAGGAACTACATACCCAGGAACCCAATATAAGAATTATACAGACGATACAGATCAAGTAATTTAAAAACAAATCAAATGTTATTAGTGTATAATTAGAAAATGCAAACGAATCTAGCTGGAAATGCATATATTTTTAATTAGACTAACGATAACAATTGATTAAAGGTTATAATTGACGATTTGCGGACTTACTGAAGTGAATGGCAATCGAATGGTTCCTTCAAAAATACTTTCAAACACGGAAACATATGACAAAGATGGCTTAAATTTCATAGTAAGTTTTTACTATTAGATTAGCTAAAAAATTCTTATTTCTAAGATCAAATTGCGATTGACCATCAAAAATGAAAGATTTTTTCATGAAATTGATCTTGGACTTCATCTAGCTTTTAAAATACTGAATTATACTGGGTAGAAAGGATTTCATTTTGTCCGATTGGATCGGCAAGAAGGTTACTAATCCTCGAGCATCAAACAGTCACAACACACTTCTTACGGAATGAATAATGCACTGAACAATATCTTTATGTATCAGACATACTTACGTGTTACAAATTTGCACATGAATTTATAATGTGATGAACATTTCCTATGAAAGACCTGTACTCCAAGTCGCGTGAGACGCATTACTATACAATTGCCACCGGTATTAGAATCACCAGGATGTAATGGTAAGTTCTCTGTGTATATTGTCTGGTAAGCCGGCTCCCCATCAACAATATACGTACCAGATTCGTCTTTCATACTAGTCCACATATCAACAGCTACAATTTTATTATAAGGTTATCACAAAAGTAAAGAAAATGGGGGCTGAAGTAAGACAGGAATATAAAACATATTTTCTAATAGATCACTCACTTTTGTCTACGTGACAAGGTAAGAGATACTATATATACGATATAACGGCAAAGGGTTATTAGATGAATTATTCGAAAACGGTCCGCCCAGATACCGTCAAATATTTGCCGACTTTCTGAGTAGCTTCGCAGTGCTTTTGTGTGCACTTTTGGCGACGAATCAAAGTCTCAAGTTTTATGGTATGGAAATTGAAAGAAATATAACCGACCTCTTCCACTGCTTAGCCCCCTTTGTAAGACTGCATCCTGTATGTCAGAAGATACTGGCGCTATTAAAGTGGAACTATGTTTGTTACATGTTGCAGATGCTAAAGACCATTCCACTTTCTCGTCAAACTTGGCTATCTGATGACCATTAATTGTTTTCCATTCTAAAATAAAAGAACAATCACCATCCCATCATTTGACTCTATCGAATCCATAATCTTATTTTTTTTTATGTTGGAGAGTTTCGTCCCAGACCTTAGAACATTCATAATGCATTAGGAATTCCGTCCAAATCGGATAAAACTATGTGAAAATGTAATATTACAATGCAAATGTTGTATCATTTCACAAAGGTCGAGGGCAATTACAAAAATATTCATTCATTGAAAATCTTTAATATTGAAATTTCGTAAATATGCACATTCATTCACAGTTTTGTCCAAATGAGATCAAAAACGTATCCTATATCGCGTTCACAATACAATATACAAGGAAAATATCTCAAAATCCTGTCAAATAATGGCAAGTATGTATGTATGCATACCAAGTTTCAGGTCAGATCAGAACTCTAAACTACATCGCGTTCACAAGCAACAGACGAACAGAATTAAGACATCACGCGTCCATCATATAATGTGAACGTATTAAAAACCCGATTTCAGATTTAGTTTGTAATGAGGGTGGTTGTTATAACACATTTTACAACTTTCAATAAGTATCCCAGGCTCTGTTTGCATAATGCCTGTGCCTATGTCTTGCTAGTCTCTTTGAGATTAATAACTTTGGAACAGAATGGGAATTTATTTTTACCTATTTTACATTCGTTGTAGTCATGATAAGTGTTTGGCGGACAGACACACTGGTAATCTTTAGAACATATAGAATTACCATTACACCAATTATCATCAATACAACCATAGTCTAATACGTCATATACTAGCAAATAAATAAACACAATTAATTCAAAAGTACGTGAATATCAAAACCAGTCTGTAGTATACATGAAATCTGAAACATGCATTCCTATATTTATTCGTTACCTACAGAAAGATGTACAATGTATTTGCTGGATAAGAGAATAAAAAGGAAATGAATGGAGTACTTTTCTGTACCATGTGGGCTAATGAAGATGGGCAACGCCATGCAGGGTGCAATTGGGAAATTTTGCCAGTACAGCGGCATTAGTCTTATCTTTTTCGAGGGATCTTTAACGTGCACAGTCTGTAGCACACGGAGCCTCGGTTTATTGTCCCCTCTGAACGACTAGACGCCTTTTCCATGTCCGCTCTTCTTATGTGCATCACTGACAGGGGGAAACCGGGTTAAAAATCCGAACGTATTACCTCGACTTATGTCGGGATTGTTCACCACCCCCGAACAATGGGATCCAGTAAGAATCTAAACTATAAAGTAAACTTACACCCAGCTTCACAAATATACCGTTTCTCTTCCATACAGTTCACGTCATAGTAGAAATACTTTATTTCAGAACCATCAAATGTTTTATTCAACATGATACAATCATTGACGTCATCGGTAGGCGAAGGATGTCTTCCGGGATACCAATTTTCATAATCCATCGATACGAATTTACTAGACCAATGGAACCAATTTTCCTGGAAGTTAAGATGTAATGAAGTTCCACATCTAATTCAAGTTAAATTTCTATAGAATAATTTAAATGCCATTGATATTGAAGTAGGGAAGACATTTTAAGTAGGATTAATTTTACGAGGGTGATTTGAAGACTCGAGATTTAATATACCTTATTCCTGTCCGTTCCTCCAGTCCAAAACTGATCTTCTTCAAAATATAGAATTTTATCTATGCCCGTCATTTCCACAGCGCTGTTTATTTCCAGCAAATGGTTACCTCTATTTTCACAGGCGTTTTCTGTTAAACCCCATTTCAAACTGTGATCTGATATCATATAACAGGATCCTTCATATTCCAACCATCCATCTCGGCAACTCTTAGACACTGAATAGATACTGAAAGTACTAAATATGCTTCTATAGAGAGAATTCTGATGTTACATTTAATGTTAAGGGCCCCGATATAGTAAATAAGACACTCGGCAATCTTGGAGCATCAGACGGTTTTTATGATATATCTTTTTATTTGTTCCAGTACTATACGTGCACTCACCTGATAAGCATGTGGGTAGTTCAGACCAGGTCCCATCAGATTCACAGACTGTATAACTTCTACCTTCATTATTCCAGGTTTTATAGGGTTCATAACATTCATAACTTACATTAGAACCTATCGCAGTATCAGGAGGATCTAAGAACATACCATTGGCAGGCTTCACCAGGCCAGTACATCCTGTTATTGCGAACAACAAAGTACCAAGTGAAAATCCGTTGAAAAAGAAATATACCAAACAATATAATATTCTGTATCACAGGAATTAGAGGACTAAAATCAAGTATAATCAAGCTTTCAAAATATCAGAAACAATTTTGTTCAACATTTGTTGATGGGTAAGATTCATTTTATACCTTTATAACGGTTGGTGGTATTTTGGACATTTCAAATCAGTTTCATTTTTTATTATTTCTGATATATGCAGGATGAATTTCAAAATGCATTGAAAGAAAATAAGCTAAATTTAAAATGTTTTTAGATATCACAAAATGCTGGGACTTTTTCAAATTGTGCCTACCTTTTAATGTTTCAATTGTTTGCATAGATGTTGTGTTAACATAACTTGGAATATCAGAGAAGAGTTCACAGTCCAAACTTGAAGAGTCAAATCTAAACGATTGACAAGACTCA